CGCGGACGATCAACGGTAACGCAACTTTTGGAGGTTTATCACAACATCATAGAAACCGTTGCATCGGGAAGGGAAGTAGATATCATTTACTTAGATCTATCTAAAGCCTTCGACAAGGTCCCACATAGTTTACTACTTTTAAAACTGAACAGTTATGGCATCTCAAGATCTCTTCTCTCGTTGTTTAGCAGCTATCTCACGGACAGATATCAAAGAGTTGTTCTTAATGGTGTTTATTCTGACTGGCTTCCAATAACATCCGGTGTCCCCCAAGGTTCCATACTTGGTCCTCTCCTGTTCCTTGTCTACGTCAACGATCTCCCCAGCTACACCAATTCCCAATCAACCATTGCCCTGTTTGCCGATGACTCCAAACTTTATAAATCCATCAACCTTCCTGACTCAACCCTTCACCTCCAAAACGACCTGAATAACCTTCATAAATGGAGTCTCGACTGGGTGATGAAGTTTAACAAATCTAAATGTCAAGCACTACGGGTCTTGAAAAAAAACACGAAGATTGTATCTCAGTACTATTTGGACGGTCAACCTCTGGAATGTGTTCCATACGTCAAAGATCATGGTGTGACTGTATGCAGTGACATGTCCTGGTCAAGACACATAGAAGAAACGGTGGCCAAAGCCAACAGAACACTCGGACTTGTCAAACCAACTTGCAAGGATACACACGACCAAAGAGTGAGAAAATTACTATTCTGCGCTCTCGTGAGGCCCATTCTAGAATATGCCAGTAGCTTATGGTCACCTTATACCTTCAAGCATAAGAGACTATTCGAAAATGTCCAGCGGAGGGCAACAAAGTTTATTCTTGACTATCCGCAGGACCTAACGTATGCCAACAGACTCGCGAAGATCAATATTCTCATTACGTACCTGCGAGCACTGCGTGGTCAGCGTCTACATATTACGATTTTTTGAACCATCATCCGGCCATTTTCATCATATTTACAAATATGTTTTAAATTGACTCGTGATTTCCAAATTGATTTTGAATAATTCATAATAGACCTTTATAAAAAGGTTGACGTCAGCAGGCTTGTGACGTAGTTTGCGGAGGAAATACTTGTTTACTTGTTTTCAGTTTTTTAAGAGCCAAAAGAAGCCAGTATTATGGTAAGTTTGAAGTAAATATTTCTATATATAGGCCAAATAAGTTTTCGTATTCGTTAGAGTTTAAATTTTATTTGTTTTTATAATAGATTGTACATTTATTTTACTGTCAACATTTAGCAAATTGTTCGCTCGGTTTGTTTACATATTTCGTTGCTAAAAAGTATATTTTTTCTTTTTTGTTTCTCAAATTCATCAGTTTAATCATCAGAATGACCCAACCTGGCAAAACCTTGATAGAAAATTAAAGCTAGATTGTTGACCCAGACACGGAAAGTGTTATACACGATTGATAAAAGCTACTTGTCATGTATGTTCACTTCAACTATTTATCGATAAAATAATAGACTTAGTCTTAGTTTATATGTCTAAGTTCACTTATGACTTATGTACCTCTTTGCACGATCACTGAGCCTGTGTATTGCTGTCTACAGCTTGATTGGGGCCATTCTGATGATTAGACTGATGAATTCGAGAAACAAAAAAGAAAAATTCTACTTTTTAGCAAAGAAATATGTAAACAGACCGAGCGAACAATTTGCTAAATGTTGACAGTAAAATAAATGTACAATCTAATATAAAATCAAATAAAATTTAAATATAATAATAAACAAATAAAATAATAAATAAAATTTGGCCTATATATAGAGAAATTTACTTCATACTCACCATAATACTTGTTTCTTTTGGCTCTTAAAAAAACTCAAAACAAGTAAACAACTCTAAGCTTTCGGGATTTCCTCCGCAAACTACGTCACAATCCTGCTGACGTCAACCTTTTTATAAAGGTCTATTGTAATCTGCATAGTGGGTAAGTCGCAGTGTGTAAACGTACAATACTTTTATAGTCACGATTCAAACCTTAGCTAGTATAAGTTGTTATAACTAATGTGTTATAACCTATTCTTTATATGTATTTATATGTAACGTCTTTTTAGGGGTTAGGTGTCAATTGGGACGAGAGTCCTGTTCCTTTCCCGTGTCACGATTTGTATCTGTCTTTATTTGTCTTTAATTAGTTTGTATCATGTATAAAATGACAAATTCATTATATTATTATTACACAAAAAATTCGCTGTGTTCAATAAGATTTGGACTGAACAGATACTTTAAGTCTGTTTTCAACAACGATATTATCAAGGATAAAGAGTTTGAAGAAGCAAATAGCGTGTACGAGGCTCAATGCGTATATTTAAAGAAACGAGGACTTGCCAAAACTGAACACAAGCCGCCAATAGCCGGCGAAGACATCAACAAACTATACGAAAGCGGCGTTTTCAATACCGACAGTCCCGATACATTGCAAAACAAAGTCTGCTTTGAAATTATGTTCTTCTTCTGTCGTCGAGGAAAGCAGAATCTCCGTGAACTAAAGAGGGACGACTTCGCCATTAAAACGAACCCACAAGGACAGCGATGTGTTGTCATAAAAACGGACGAACTCACGAAAAACCATCGTGTACACGACGCTCAAGCCGAGGAAGGGGGAATGATGGTTGCCAACGATAGTCCCTACTGCCCTGTGTATTCGTTCGAGGAATATTTCACCCATCTTAATCCACTCAACGAGTTTCTTTTCCAAAGACCGAAGCGTTGCAGTCCTTCTGACGGGATAATTTGGTATGACAATATGGTCGTCGGCGAAAACACGCTTGGCAAGAAGATGAAAGTACTATCGATCAAAAGAAGCAAAGCTTTCCGTTGAATATACCAACCACTCGATTCGAGCAACCACAATTACAATCCTCGACAGAAATGGCTATGAAGCAAGACACATCATGTCCGTGAGTGGTCACAGGAGTAAGAGCAGTTTAAAGAGCTATACTAAAACCGGCGATTTAACGAAGAGCAAAATGGCCGGTTGTTTGTCTTCTGCAATTGATTCCAGCGAACATCACGTAGCTGAAATTCGTAACGCTATAAACCCTGACATGTCTGCCCTGGCTACGGTAAGCAAAGATACTGAAATTGAGTCTCTTTTAACAAACTCACAAGAATAATTAATCATGCGGGATTTCAGCTTCCAAACGACTACACAAACGTCAAAACAGTATCATTTTTACAACTGTCAAATTCACTTTCAGGAGTAAAATGTTTATAAATGTTAAAGTTAATATTTAAATTCGTGTTAGAACAGTTGAGAAACACTTGTTTTCTCGATCATTTGTATTTTTATACAAATATTCCGTATATTTTCTCGATAATTTGTATTGTTATTTGAATATTCTGTATATTTTCTCGATAATTTGTATTTTTGTATAAATATTCTGTATATTTTCTCGATAATTTGTATTTTTATGTTAATATTCTGTATATTTGAAGTATAAATGGGGTCAGTAAAATCTGTAGTATTCTTTCAAACGCTTATATTCAGTTGAAATAAATTTGTTTGAATTAATTTGTTTGATTTGGTAATATGACAACAGTTTTAAAAATATTCTTTCCTAGTCTAATTGGCTTATTCAGGCTTGCGAACACTATATTATTGTTCCATTTTCAGTAGCTTGCGTGTTCTTGTTTACAATGCAAGCGTTTACCCTAAGTCCGATATATATATATATATATATATATATATATATATATATATATATATATATATATATATATATATATATATATATATATATATATATATATATATATATATATATATATATATATATATATATATATATATATATTTAACAATTATACCATGAGCTCGAGTCGTATATGAGCTGATAGCCGACGAGGTGCGTAGCACCGAGTCGGCTATCAGCCATATATATACGACGAGAGCGAATGGTATAATTGTTTTATAATATAGTCTAATATAGCCATTAACTGAAGTAGTAATTAATTATTCACTGTTACAATGTGTTGACAATTTGTTCGGCCAAAAACCGCTTGAAAATTTGAAATACTTTTGTTTTGTAACTCGAAGACGAAGTGAAAGAAATGGTTTTAGAACCTCTATATCTCACACGAAAGCTCAGATATATTATACAGATGTTTGGTACTATAGTAAGTGCTTGTTGACTGCAAATTCATTTGTCGTTCATTGCAAACTTTTCTGAACAATTTATATTCTCAATGAACATGTTTTTTCGCTGTTGTTTCGGTATTAATTCTTTAAAAAAACTTGTATTTAAACTAATTTCTACGTAATAAATGTATTTTGCTAACCTGTCAAATTTTTTTGAGAGTTTTTCCTTGTACTATTATGTTTCTCAAAGCGAATATTTTCCTTTTTCTGCTTCGCAAAACTCATGTAGTTTTTGGACCGCCATCTTGTTTTTCGCTACTTGCCATAATAATAATAATAATAATAATAATAATAATATTTATTAATAATAATAATATATATTATATATATATATATATATATATATATATATATATATATATATATATATATATATATATATATATATATATATATATATATATATATATATATATATATATATACTACACATTATGCCTAAGCCTTTATGCGCACGCTCACTGCATTTCACAGTTTAAAAACGGCGATAAAGCACATAAGTAAAGACATTGTCGCGCCCTTCAAGGAAAGCTCAAACAACGGCAACTGTGGACAGCTGTTTCGCCCTTTTTGGGGCTCATCAGCACAGTGCACCGATGATGAGCTTCCACATACCAAGAATATATATACTATAGAAGACAGTGTGGTGGATGTGGTGGATATATATATATAGATATATATATATATATATATATATATATATATATATATATATATATATATATATATATATATATATATATATATATATATATATATATATATATATATATATATATATATATATATATATATAGATATATAAATATATAGATATGTAGATATGTAGATATAGCTAAAGTTTTTGCTTTACCAAACACAAACAGTGCTCAATACCATAGAGATAGAGCGTAATATAGTTTTTCGTTTTACCTCAAAAACCCACAACAGTCTGTTTCATCCGTATAGGAATCATGAAATAGCGGATGAAACAAGCTATAACGGGAAACATATAAAAATGGAAAGTTGGTGTTTTGGTATATATATATATATATATATATATATATATATATATATATATATATATATATATATATATATATATATATATATATATATATATATATATATGAACGTAATAGGCTATTTAAAGAACGCGTAGGATTGTTTTATCACATATAAAACACGGCGCGTAGCGGAGTGTTTTATATGTCATAAAACACTACTACAAGTGTTTTAAATAGCTTCAAAAAGGACTCATCTTATACGAGTTCATTGGCGGAGTAATTTTTAAAATAAACTTTGTCTAAACCGAGAAAATCAAAGCTAAAGTTTATGTAAATTAACGTGATTTTTATCACATATAAAACCACGACAC